GTTCTTTTTTATATCTTCCATTTCTTTGTTGACATTCTCACTGAGTTCATCTATTCTTCTCCCCAGATCAGTGAGCATCCTTAACACTCTTAGTTTGAACTCTCTGTCGGGTAGGTTGCTCATTTCTGTTTCACTTCCTTCCTTTACTGTGGTTTTATCCTGTTCCCTTACTTGGAATGTATTCCTTTGCCTCCTCATTTTGCCTCTTTCCCTGTGTTGTGTCTGTGTATTAGGTAGGTCAGCTATGTTTCCTGCTCTTGGATAGGTGACCTTATATACATGATGCCTTAGGAGGCCTTCAGTGTGCTTCCCTCAGTTCTCAGTGTTCCAGGGGTAACCCCTATGTGGGCTACGTCTGTCCTTCTGTTGTGGCATGTTTGTTCTCCCTGTAGGCACCCAGGGAGGCTGAGTTGTGCTCCTGGCCAGCTTTTGTAATGCTCATCTGCTTGTAGTTGTGGGCCCTTCAGTCTCTTTATCGGGTGTGGGGAGTCCCAGCACAGTTGGCTGCAAGTTCTAACACTACATTTGTGTTTCAGTATTTCTTTTAAGTGAGTAGGCCCCCAGCGTGGCAGGTTGTTAGGCTCAGGGGCTTCCAAATGCTATAAGCCTCCAGCCTTTAGGTCTCTTGTCCGCTCTCTGAAGATTGCAGCTGGTTGGGGCTGGTTTCAGGCATGGGAGCACCCAATTGTTTCAGGCTTTGGAAGGTGGGGCCAATCCCCTATGTGGGTCTTTGAGAAGCACACGTCTTCTGCAGCTGACAAGCCCTGCCACCCACAGGTCCACACACACAGTCAACACAGTCCTGCGCTGTGTGCGTGCTCCGACCTCCTGAAGTGGACCCAGTCTCTCCACGGCGGGAGCCCCACACACTCCACCACTCCCCACACTTGCCACCTGCTACTTATGCACGCCCTGCCCCACTGAAGTGGGCATAGTTGCCAGGCTGCAGAGAATCCAGCCACCAATCTATGCAGGCCCACAAGTTGCCTGAGGCTTGTTGTTGGGTGGGGCCTGTCTCTAGGGTGGGCTGCCTGCCCTGGCTGAGCTGGATTAAATCGGTGCTCTAGGGGCTGGGGCAGACCCTTGGCTAGCAGGCCCCAGGGAGAACTCCCATTGTGTCTGTGTCAGCACGCCCACACCAGGCCACAACAATGGCCGCCGCCAATGTCACAGTCCCTGGAGAGGTCTCCCCTCTCACTGCAGTGCGCTCAGAGCCTGTCAGGTGAGTCTCTTTTCACCAAAGCACTGTGCACCATTCTTTCTGGTGATTTTAGGTTGCTTTCTCAAATGGGTGAGTTTGCAAGTGGGCCCTTTAAGAGTTGATTTTAATTTCTTTGTGCACCAGCTTTTCTGGGGGTACTCCCCAATGTTTTAGTAGCAGGCAAAGTCAGATATTATGCCACTCATCTCGATTTTGCTGGGTCCACAAAGTGCCTACAGCGTGAGCGCTCCCCGTCTCAGGGCCCCACTCCTCCAGGGAGGGCTCCGTACCTTTGGGCAGTCCCCAGGTGTCCCTGAGGCACTCGGCTTGTGAAGGCGGTGCTTTTCCTCTCCAGAAGGGAGTTTCTGCCTCTTCCACCTCAATTATGATTTTCCTTTGTTGCAGGAGTTCCTCTTATCCAGTTTTCAGTTCTCTCCCGTGTGTAATTTTTCCATGAGTAGTTGTAAATTGGCTGTGTCCGCGGGAGGAGGTGAGTTCAGAGTCTGCTTACGCCACGATTTTTACTTCTCCCCCCCCCCCGAGTGATGAATATTTTTAATGTTATAGCTTTTGCTTCCCTTTGTAGCTTCATGAATTTTGCAACTTGGATAATAACTATTCTTAATAACAAGGATCTCCCCTTTCACTAAAAAAAAAGACCAAAAAAAAAAAATAGAGACTTTGCTCCTAATTCCACCTTATGGAATAAGAAACAATGTTTCTTAGTCTCCTTTTTATGTGCGTTTTGATGTGGCAATCATCTCAATGTAAAAATTTTTAACCTGCTTTTTTCACTTAACATTATGTCTTAAACCATTTTTCATTGTTGCTGTATACTTTTTATAAACAGCGTTTTTGACAGTTGTAGAATTATGAGGAGAGTTCTTCTAAACAAACATATAAAAACTGCTAGGTAATAGTGTCAAAGTGTGGAGTTCTACTCTGCTGCCTGTGGGCTCTGTGGAGCTATAAAAGAAAAGAGTAGGACTTTATCAATTACAATCACATGTCAAATACTGAATGAACTTCTACAGACAAGGTCCCATGCTAGACACTAGGATATAAATGTGAATAAACCATTCTTTGTCCTCACAGAACTTGAGGTTAAATGAGGAGACCGAAGCAAATAAATAAGTACAACAAGGAAAAAACACAGTACAGTTTTCATAGAATTGGTGCCCCTTGAGGGAAGAGTAAATGTTTCCCTGTCAGGTCTTAGAACAGAGTGGTACATTGAAGGAAGTATACATAATTCAGTATCTCAGGGGATTGGGTCATAGATCTATTCTCACTGACGTTGAATAGTTTACAAGATATTGTTAAGTGCAAAAAAGAAGTTGAAAAACAATGTGAGGATATGATTCCATTTATGTGAAAAAAGCAAAACCATATTGGTGTGCATACATATGTGTATATAAACACAGCAAAAGTTATGACAAGACATATACCAAACTGGTAACAGAAGTCACTACTGGGGAGGAGAGTGGGTGCAGAGATGGAGATATTAAGGAAGATTCCGTGTATGACTTGTATCTTTTAGGAGATTGTTTTCAATTATTATGTGTGTTATTAAATATAATAAGGAAATAATAATGAATACATAAATAATGGAACCTTGATACACTGGAATGTTATTCAACCCTGTAGATACCATTCTGTAAGTCAGTAATTTGCAAAAATTCTTTAGATTTGGAACCCTTTTTTCAAACAATTATAATTAAGTCCAATTTTTTGAGAAAGCAGACTGCTTTTGTTTCTAAGTGAGGCTGGAGTACCTGGAGATCTTGATTTCTGTGTTTGTGTGCCTGCACGCATGTAAATAAAGAGATCTGGAATGCTTTATAGATCCTGGAGTGTTAACAATTACATACTCTGAGAGATAAGATTATAAATGTTTTAAATTTTCCTGTTTTTGATGATGCATTTTAATTTTTCTCTAAGAAACAAGTATTTGTTATAGTTAGGAGATGATTTTTTTGGTAGAAAATACTTAACATTGGGGCTATATGGTGAATTGGGCAATCTCATGCATTGATGATGAGAATATAACTTGAGACATCTGTTTTGGAAAGAGATTTAGTATCATGTGTCAAGAGTCTATGAAAATGAACATATCCTTTGACCTAGTAATTCTACTTCTAAAAATATGTCCTATGAAAGGACCCAATAATGTTACGGAAAAATATGCTTATCAGGGGCCAGCCCAGTGGCATAGTGGTTAAGATTGCACCGTCCGCTTCAGTGGCCCAGGGTTCACGGCTTCGGATCCTGGGTGTGGACCTACACACCGCTCATCAAGCCACGCTGTGGCAGCATCCCACATACAAAATAGAGGAAGATTGGCACAGAGGTTAGCTCAAGGCCAATCTTCCTCACCAAAAAAAAAAACATATATATATATATATGCTTATCAGAGCATTATTTATAATGAGAAATTAGAAATGACTTTAATATCTTATATTCCATTTGATGAAATATTATGAAGGTCATAAAATTATATTCAAGAGAATTTAAAAATTACATTGGAAAAGGCTTGATAAGGAAAAGCCCCTTCTCGGTCAACCCCAGCCTCACAGAGGTAAATACTATTTTTACTTCTGTTGCAATAGATAAGTTTTGCTTCTGCTTGAACTTTATATGTACTCTTTTGTGTCTCTCTTCTTTCACTGAGTATAATGTCTTTGAGATTTATCCATATTGTTGCATGTATTAGTCAGTACTTTGTTCTTTTTTTGTTACTATAATATACCACAATTTATCCATTCTTCTATTGACGTACATTTGAGTTATTTCCAGTTTGAAGCTATTATGAATAAAGCTGTTGTTGGCGTTCTTGTCCATACCTTTTGGTGGACATATGTACTCATTTCTCCTGGGTAAATATTAGGAGTAGGCTTGCTGTGCCATATGGTAAATATGTGTTTAACTTTATAGGAAGTTGCCAAACTGTTTTCCAAACTGTACCAATAAACATTTCCATCAGCAATGTACTGGAATTCCAGTTGCTCCACATCCTTGCCAGTGCTTGATATTTATAATCTTCAATTTTAACCATTCTGGTGGATATATAGTGATGTCACATTGTGGTTTTTGTATATGTTTAAGTGCTTTTGGTTTTAACGTTCATACCTTTTGAACCAATAATTCCACTTTTGGGACATTTTCCTAAGAACATAATCTGAAATCCAGCAAAAACTTATATGTACCTATGTGTTCTTTGCTGCATAACTTATAATAGCCAAATGTGAGAAATAACCTAAATGTTGGGTATTAGGGAAATATATAATTTATGATACATTTATAATGATAAAATGTACAGGCATTCAAAATTATCTTATAATAAAAGGATATGAAATTATACATAGAATGTGGTATCAACTATAGAAAAATATGTGTATTAAAATAGACCAGCAATATTTCACCAAAAAAAAAGGTTTATTTTAAAAAATACTGGAAGGAAATACACGAAAATATCTTTGGGTGGTGGTACTATGTAATTTTTTTCTCCCATCCTTATGTATGTTTTCTAATGATCATGTGACCATTTTAGAATAGCATAAAATGTAAGTAAACTTTATTTATTTATTTTTAAACTCAATTTTTTTCTAAGTATTCCAGATTTTACGTTTTTTAATGCTTTCTCCCTATGTAATCTTTTCTATAACATGAAAAATTGCTCTCTTGAGTTTCTTTAAATATTTGATTTCTGCTACTGCTTTGACTCTCAAATTATAAATTGTGTGAAAAAAACACTCTCATCTTGTTTCTTCTTCTGAACATCTGATGTTCCAACATCCAGTCCAGGACAGAAGATAAAATAGAGAGATTCAAGAAAGCAGTTGAATACTATTCAATCACAACCAAACTCTCTTCGCTGCCAGTAGTGGGTCCCTCTTCCTTTCTAGGTAAGTCTTCCATGTGTCCCCGAGCTGTGTCCATAGGGGAAACTAAGTTAGTCCCTCAGGAACTCCTGGGCCAGAATGGAATCACTTGTTTGTACTGCACTCTCCTAGAGGTCATTCCTGTTTGGTAGACCTTCTCCTTTTGGTTTCCAAGTAGTAAGAGTGAGAGTGACATGAGATAGGGTCCTGATTTCTCGAATTTATAGATGGTGTCCAATGCCATTTCCTTAGATTGGGCTTCTTTTTTTTTTAATTTTTTGTTTTTAGATTGGGCTTCTTTTGATGCTAACCTCCATTGTGGCCTGGTATATGTAAAATGGCCCTGTCTTCGGGGTCAGGCCTGAGTTTGAATTCCACCTCTGCTGCTTACTAGCTGTGTGATCTTGGCAGGTCACATTTGCATGAAATGTCACTCATGATACCTACTATATAGGGTTGTTATCAGATGAAATAATTTATATAAGGTTCCCAGCATGGCACATAGTTGCTGTTCAATAAATTGTAACTTATTTATTAATAATAATTTTTCGTGTGATATGGGGTTAGCAGAATCTAACATGGTAGAATTATTAGGATTGCCTAAGTATAGCCCTTTCTCTTGGCTTCAGGTTTTCGGAATAATCGGCTTGGAAATCCTCCCCTTCCACGAAATCAGATGGGCACTATCTCTGCTGGAAAGCCTATGGTAATATATTTTAAGAGGCCTGAGACCATTTGTTAGCACTAGATCCAGATTGCTTCCTGATTTTTGTAATATGAGTTAAGGAGTTAGGGTGATTCAGTGTTATCAGAATGTCAAGGCTATATATACCTATGTCACATTCTCAACTTGAGGCTGGCAGACTATGTAAAGAAAACATCCAAATCAGTAACCACTAGGGCATTGTGAAGATAGATTAGCTAATGTCAAAGAATGATTCTAGGAGACGTGAATTGATCCATTGTCCTGCCTCTGGAGGATTCTGTCCATACATCACTGTTAGAATTATTTCTTGTTATTCTCAGTAGGTTCTTTGTATCGCAACAATCCCTGCTACTGCATCATCCACTATGAGGGAACAATCTTGGAGCCTGGTAAAATGTTAAATAGCTTTTCTGTCTGTTTTATTCTTTAGTTTTCTCACCACGTGCCCCAGAAAATGAAATATCCACCACCATTCCCAGTGGGACCCAACTCCTCTCTTCTCTTCTCCTCCCATGCTTTGGGGGAATCCCATGCTTTTTCTGAGGATCCCATGCTGCAGGACAGCCCCTTTGCCAATTGGGCTGTCTCTTATGACTCCTCTGCATCCCAATTTCCCAATTACCTGACTTCCAAAGCCTCACCTCCTTTGGGACCAGACTCTTCCCACTCCTCTTCCTCTGATGGTGATGAACCAAATGGAGCCAGCTCTGAGTAAGTATCTGTTTAGGCACCCAAGGGAACAGATTTTTGAAGCATCTGTATTCTTCTGCTGGTAACCTGCGTAGGGGTGTGGGGAAGTGTATGTTTCTGGCTTTTCTCTGTGTCTCTTTGCTTTTAAGCAAAGTAGGAAAATTCTCTCTATGCTTGGCCAATTCATGGTCATTTTGACCTTGTATAGGTGGTAATTTTCAGATACCCAGGCCACTGAGGTAAAAGGAAGCATAGCAGCTGGTTAGGGAAGCCCTGGTATGGGTGTGCTATATATCATTGCTGTCATTTCTCAATTTGTGAGGGGGGTAGATTGAATGTAAAAACAAATGAAAACAATTTATAGAGTTGAAGTATTAGAACAGTTGAGAAGTAACTAAGTAACTTTGTAACTATCGCTTAGTAACTAAGACAGGGTTCTTAGAGGATTAAAACAGTGGGATTTTGTACTAGCTCATTTGTTCTTAGATTATTCTTCCAAGCAGATTGTTCCTGGGAAACAGAGCTGCTTTGAGGTTTCAATTGTAATTATGTTCTTAGAACATAAGCAGGGTCTAAATATGGCCTCTTACAAGGTGTAAAGGATTCAGAATAGTTCCCACGACTTTTGATCTCCTTGATTTGTGTCAGATGAAAGAAGCCAGGAGGGCAGTGATGGCCACTGAGAGGAAAATCAGGTCCAGTGCTAACCCAGTGTCCTGACTTCCAGGACGTTTGTAAGATTCCTTGGCATCAGAACAGACATCTTGAGTTGGAATATCTTTATCAACCTCCTTTCTCTCTTCTGCACTGTCTTCCTAAATTTTTTAGTCACATCACAGAAACACTTCAGCAGCAGCCTGGATGGGAGGATCCAAATGGTGACAGAGGGTCCTGGGTACAGCCCATTGATGCTGGAGTTTCAGATGCCAGCCTGGGTGATGGTGAGCCCCACATCCCATCTCTGCTATCTATGTCTACGAGGAACCACATGGACATCACCATTCCACCCTTACCTCCAGTAGCTCCAGAAGTCTTGCGGGTTGCCGAACATAGACACCGAAGGGGTCTTATGTACCCGTATATCTACCACATCCTCACTAAGGTGAGAAAGCACATTAATACCTCCCTGCTCTTAACACTATACTTCACACTTCCTAGAACTGTAAGTTACCAGAGAAAGTTCTGATCATTGGTGTCTGAAGGGAGATAGGAGGAATCCAAGTGTACTGGGGTCTTTCATTGTATTAAGGGCCTCAAGTGAGGCGAGACCAGCAGGAGATGGGACTGTGCTGTAAATGAGGCTCCAAGAAGAGAAGTGTAATTGTGAGATTTCAAAGAAGATAATGCACCAAGTTGGTGGACTCTGGTCTAGGGATGGACACAATCTAAGAAGAGACTTTATGCCCTTGTTCTTTACCTCCTCCTCTGCTTCTCCAGAGCTATTCCTCTTCTCCAGTGTTACCATACAAATCCATCCCCAGCAAAATGTCTAAGATAGACTTTCCCCATTTAGTCAGCTATAGTCAGTCATAGCAGAGACTTTAAACATAAAACATAGCTTTTAAGCTAGCTATGGTCAGCTGAGCTTGTTACAGCTTCTTTTTAGTCTGAAACTCTGTCTAAATACAAGTAGAAAATTTAGCAACTAGGCTACAAAGGCTACAGTTCATTACTGGTTCTTCTCAGCTCAATTCCAAACCTTGAGGTAACTCATTTTCTCTTTTCCCCTGGACCATTTTCTTGTTAGGGTGAGATTAAGATCCCTGTATGTATTGAGGATGAGTGTAACATGGAGCTGCCTCCAGCTGCTCTCCTGTTCCGGTCAGCTCGTCAATATGTATACGGGGTCCTTTTCAGTCTGGCAGAGACACAGCGGAAAATGGAACGCCTGGCCATACGACGGCGGCTGCCTGTGGAAGGTGAGTTAGTTCTGGCTTTGACAGTTCTCTCATAGGTTGACATAGAGCAAAAATGTCTGTGTAAACACATCATACTTCTGGCTATGGGGCAGTCTTTGAGAAAATGCATAATTCACCAGAATACATATTGGTATGGGAAATGCATTAACTTAAGCCCCAATTCTTTAATCATTAAGCATTCAGAGTGATTACTACTTATAAGAACCATGCTGGACTTTGGAATGTAGAAGTGTATCTGACACAGTCTCTCCTCCTCAGTAAGGTTTTGTTTTGGAATTTGATCCTGTAGGTAGTTGGAGCCATTGAGATGTTTTAAGCTGCAGGGCGACATGGTCAAATTAGTGTGTTCAAAAGAACCCTTCTGGATTTCTGGTTCTTGGAAGATGGAGTAAATATACTTTTCCCTATTCCTCCTGCTAAATGCAACTAAAAGCCCAGGATATTATATATAAAAGAAACACAAGACACTCTAGAACGTGAAGAGAAGGCAAACTAGCTAAGGACCTTGGGATCCAAGGAATGACACAGTGGTGAGTTAGTTCCCTGGGTTTTCTTTTTGCTTCATATATCCCAGACTGGGTGCGGGACAAGCTGGCAGCCCAGAAACGCGAACAGGTGCAGACCAATAAAAGCCCCAAGAGGCCAAGGCAAGCGCTCATGTTCTGACCTCGTCTGTGCTCTGAAGGTGGCGAGACCGCGGAACTACAGCCATGACTGAAGCTGATGTAAATCCAAAGGCCTACTCCCTCGCAGACACCCACCTCACCGAGAAACTATTGGACCTTGTTCAGCAATCGTGTAACTACAAGCAACTTGAGAAGGGAGCTGATGAGGCTACCAAAACCCTCAACAGAGGCATCTCTGAGTTCATTGTGATGGCTGCAGAAGCCAAGCCCCTGGAGATCATCCTGCACCTACTGCTGCTGTGTGAAGACAGGAATGTCTCCTATGTGTATGTGTGCTCCAAGCAGGCCCTGGGTTGGGCCTGTGGGGTCTCCAGGCCTGTCATTGCCTGTTCTGTCACCATCAAAGAAGGCTCACAGCTGAAGCAGCAGATCCAATCAATTCAGCAGTCCATTGAAAGGCTCTTAGTCTAAACTGGTGGCCTTTGCCACACCCTCCCTGTTGACTCCTCCCCCAGAGGTTGTGTATCATATTGTCTGTGTTACCATGTAGTATTTCCAGCTACTTTCTATTTATAAAATATTTCAGTACTAAAAAAAAAAAAACCTAAGAAAAGTCTCCTCTCTCTAGCCAAAGGACCCAAAAGGAACAACCTAGCAAGCAGAAAATTTTTATATAATAACCACTCTACTCCAGCCAAACATCACAGAAAAACTGCAGCCCACCTACACCCCCACCCACAAAGGCTGAGTGAAGAGCCTGGACTTCTATTCTTGCCAGACTGTAACATGGTGTCCCACCTACTCCTTCTGGGGAGGTGTCAGACAATGCCAAGTGAGGAGCCAGGACTTCCCCTCCCACTTGGCAGTAATGAGACAGTATTTGCCTTCACCCACCAGAGTGGTGTCAGAAAAGACCTGCTAAAACACAAGATTTACATAAGATCCAGAATCTTTTAAAATAATACCCAAAGTGTCTAAGTTTCAACTGAAAATCCCCCATTATACCAAGAACCAGAAAGATTTCAAACTGAGATCTCAAACTTCCTGAGGAAAGAAGATCAATAGATGCCGACATTAAGATGGCACAGATGTTTGAATTACCTAACAAGGATTTTAAAGCAGTCATCATAAAAATTCTTTGACAAACAATTCTGAACATGCTTGATACAAATTAACAATAGAAAGTCTTAGTAAAGAAATAGAGGAAATAAAGAAGAACAAATGGAAATTAAGAACTAAAAAACACAACGACTGAAATAAAATACTCAATAGATGGGTTAAACAGCAAATTGGAGACAATAGAGGAAATAATCAGTGAACTTGGAGACAGAACAATATAAATTACCCAATCTGAATAACACAGAGAAAATAGACTGAAAAAATGAACAGGAACCAGTGGAAATATAACAAAAGATCTAATATTTGTATAATCAGAGTCCCAGAAGGAGAGGAGAAAGAAGGTGGGAATACAAAAGTATTCAAAGAAATAATGGCTGAGATAATTCTCAAATTTGGCAAAAAACATAAGCCCACAGGTTCAAGAAGCTGAGTGAATTATAAACAGTATAAACCCAAGGAAATATGTGCCAAGATACATCATGGTAAAACCTTTGAAAGCTAAAGACAGAAAAATTATTGAAAGCAGCCAGAGAGAAACAACACTTTACCTATAGGGGAAAAATAATACAAATAACAGCTAATCTCTCATCAGAAGCCATGGAGTCCAGAAGGAAGTAGCACAGTATTTTCAAGGGCTGAAAGAAAAGAATTGACAACTCAGCATTCTATATCAAACAAAAATATCCTCCAGGAATGAAGAGGAAATCAAGACATTCTCAGATGAAGGAAAACTAGGATAATTTTTCACAAGCAGACCTACACTAAAAGAATAGCTAAAGGTAGTTCTCTACACAGAAAGGAAATGATAAAAGGAGGAATCTTGGAACATCATGAAGGGAGAAAGAACAAAAATATTGATACATACAATAGATTTTCTTTCTTCTCTTGAGTTTTCTAAATTATGTCACAGTTGAAGCAAAAACTGTGACACTGTTTAATGTGGTTCTCAATGTCTGTAGAGAGAATATTTAAGATGGTTGTAAATGGGGGCAGGTAAAAGGATGTAACAAAGGACACATTTCTACACTTCACTTGAACTGGTAAAATGTCAACACCAGTGGACTGTGATAAGTTATGTATATATAATGTAATACCTAGGAAATGTACTTAAAAAGCTATACAAAGATAGACACTCAAAAACACTATAGATAAATCAAAATGAAATTCTAAAATAAGTTCAAGTAACACATAGGAAGGGAAAAATAAGAAAGCAGAGATATGACAAACAGAACAAACAGAAAATAAAATAAAATAAAATGACAGACTTAAACCCTAACATATCAATAATTACATTAAATGTAAGTAGTCTAACTACACCAATTAAAATACAGAGATTGACAGACTGAATAAAAAACATGACCCAACTATATGCTGTCTACAAACAATTTACTTCAAATATAAATGATATAGGTAGGTTGAAAGTAAAAGGGTGGAAAATGATATACCATGAAAATATTAATGAAAAGAAAGGAGGAATGGCTATATTAATGCCACATAAAGTAGACTTCAGAGCAAAAATATTGCCAGGGACAGAGAGAGACATTACATAATGGTCAATCCACCAAGAAAACATAGGAATCCTAAATATGTATCACCAAACAAAAGAGCCACAAAATATGTGATGCAACAACTGATAGAACTTAATGAGAAATAGACAAATCCATAATTATAATTAGAGACTTCAACTCCCCTCTCAATAATGGGTAGAAGAACTAGACAGAAAATCAGCAAGAATGTAGAACTCAACAACACCATCAATGAATAGGATCTAATTAACTCTTACAGAACTCGCAACAAGAGCACCATACACGTTTTTTTCACATGCCCACAGAATATATGCCATGATAGATCATATCCTGGGCCATTAAAAAAACCTCAATAAATTTAAAAGAATTGAAATCATAGAGTATATTCTCAGAGCACTATGGAATCACACTAGAAATCAACAACAGAAAGATAACAGGAAAATCTATGAATACTTAGAAAATAACAAAGCACTTCTATATAATGCATAGGTCAAAGAGGAAATTTCAAAGGAAAGAAAGAAATCCATGGAACTAAATGAAAATAAAAACACAGCATAATAAAATTTGTGAGATGGAGCTAAGTAATTGCTGAGATGGCGATTTGTAGCACTAAATGCTCACATTAGAAAAGAGAAATAGTCTCTAATCAGTCATCTAAATGTTCGCCTCGGGAAACAGGAAGAGGAGGAGAAAACTAAACCAGCAGCAAACCAAAGGGAGGAAATAATAAAGATAAGAGCAGAAATCAATGAAATTGAAAACAGAAAAAGAATAGAGAAAAATCAATAAAATAAAAACCCATTCTTTGACAAGAACAATAAATTTGACAAATTTCTAACAAGAAAGAAAAAAATAGAGAAGACACAAATTACCAATATCCACAATGAGTTATCACCTCACACCTGTCAGAATGGCTATTATCAAAAAGATAACAAGTGTTGGCAAGGATGTGGAGAAAAGGGAACCCTCGTGCACTGTCAGTGGGAATGTAAATTGGTGCAGCCACTATGGAAAACAGAATGGAGGTTTCTCAAAAAATTAAAAATAGAACTATCATACGATCCAGCAATTCCACTTCTGAGCATATACCCAAAGAAAACAAAACCACTAATTCAAAAAGATATATGCACCCTTATGTTTATTGCTACATTATTAAAATAGCCAAGATTCAGAAGCAACCTAAGTGTCTATTGATGAATGGATAAAGAAAGATTGTGGTATATATATACAATGGAATACTACTCAGCCATAAAAAAGAATGAAACCTTCCATTTGCAACAACATAGATGGACCTAGAAGGCACTATGCTAAGTGAAATAAGTCAGATAAAGACAAATACTGTATGATTTTACTTATATGTGGATTCTAAAAAATAAAACGAATGAACAAACAAAACAGAAACAGACTCATAGATATAGAGAAAAAACAGGTGGTTGCTGGAGAGGAGCGTGGTGAGGGATTGGGCAAAATAGCTGAAGGGGATTAAGAGGTACAAACTTCCAGTCATAAAATAAGTAAGTTACAGGTATGTAATATACAGCACAGGTAATATAGTCAATAATATTGTAATAACTTTGTATAGCGATAGATGCTTACTAGACTTATGGTGATCATTCCGTACTGTATATAAATGTTGAATCTTGATGTTGTACACCTGAAACTAACATAATATTGTATGTCAACTATACTTCAATATAAGAAGAAAAAAAAAGAATGAAATGATATATCACCACAGAGCCTGCAGACATCAAAAGGATTATATGGGAATACTATAAACAACTCTGCACATAAATCTGACAGCTTAGACAAAATGGACCAATTTCTCAAAATATGCAAACTATCACATCTAATATAAAATAGATAATTTGAATAACCCTATAAATATTAATGAAATTTAATTTAAAACCTCCCCAAAAAGAAATCTGACTCAATTGGTTTCATTGGAGAATTCTCCCAAATGTTTAACAAAGAATTAACATCAATTCTACACAGTCCTTTTCAGAAGATAGAAGAGAGAACACTTCCCAACTCATTCTATGAAGCCAGTATTATGCTGATTTAAAACCAGAAAAAGACAGTACTTAAAAACAACTCTTCAGACTGATATCCCTCATCAATATAGATGTAAAAATTCTTAACAAAATATTAGTCAATAGAATTCAGCAACATATAAAAATAATTATACACCATGGTCAAGTAAGGTTTATTACATGGCTGTAAGGCTCATTCAATATTTGAAAAATCAATCAATGTAATCCACCATATAAACAGGCTAAATAAGAAAAATGATATGATCATTTCAATGGATGCAGAAAAACATTTGACAAAATTTGACAACCATTGGTGATTAAAAAACTCTCAGAAAACTAGGAATAGAGGAGAATTTCTTCTGCTTGATAAAGAACATCTACAAAATCCCTACAGTGAACATTATACTTAATGGTGAAAGACTGAATGTTTTTCTCCTAAAATCAGGAACAAGGCTACGATGTCCACCCTTACTGCTGCTCTTCAATAGTACTGGAAGTTCTAGCCAGTGCAGGAAGGCAAGAAAATGAAATAGAAGGCATACAGATCAGAAAGGAAAAAATGAAACTGTCCCTAATTGCAGGTGACATATAGTCTATGTAGAAAACCACAAGGAATCTACAACAAAACTCCTAGAACTAATAAGTTCATCAAGGTTGCAGGATACAAAAATAAACATACAAAATTTAATTGTATTTCTCTATACTTACAATGAATATGTGGAACTGAAATAAAAAATGCAATAGCATTTACAATCCTTCCCAAGAAAATGAAATACGTAGGTATAAATTTAACAAAAGATGTTCAGGATCTGTATGCTGAAAATTACAAAATCCTGATGAAAGAAAGCAATGAAGACCTACATAAATGGAGAGACATAGATGTCCGTGAATTGGAAGACTCATCATAGTAAAGATGTCAATTCTCCTCAAATTGGTACACAGATTTAACACAGTTCCTATCCAAATCCCAGCAGGATTCTTTGTAGGTATAGACAAGATTATTCTAATATTTATATGGAAAGACAAAGGAACTAGAATAGCTAAAACATTTTTGAAAAAGAATAATAAATTGGGAGCACTTTACCTGATTACAAGACTTATGTTTTAGCTACTATAATTAAGACTGTGTGGTATTGGCAGTGGTATAAACACATAGATCAATGGAACTGAATAGGAAACCCAGAAATAGCCTCATATAAGTACAGCCAACTGATTTTTGACAAAGCTGCAGAAGCACTTCATTGGAGGAAGGATGGTCTTTTTAATAAATGGTGCTGAATCAATTGGACATCCATAGATGAACAAGTACCACATATCTAGACTAATATCTAAAATAATAAAGAAATCTCAAAACTGAACATTATAAAAACAATCCAGTTAGAAAATCAGCAAAATACGTGCACACATTTCACTGAAGAAAATATATATATGGCAAATAAAGACATGAAAAGATGTTCAACATCATTAGCCATTAGAGAAATGCAAATTAAAGCCACAATGAGGTATCACTACATGCCTATCAGAATGGCTAAAGTAACTAATGGTGATAATACCGCATGCTGAACTGGATGTGGAGTAACTAGATCATTCATAAATTTGCTGGTGGGAATGTAAAAGGGTAACCACACTCTGGAAAACAATTTGGCCATTCCTTTCAAAACTAAAAATAGACTTACTATACAACTCAGCACTTAATCTTTGGGGCATTTATCCCAGAGAAATGAAGACTTATCTTCATGCAGGAACTTGTACACAAATATTTACTTGTACACAGAGCTTCATTCATAAGTGCCTCAAACTGGATACAACCCAAATATGCTTTAAAAGGTGAATGGTTAAATTGTGGTACATCCATACCATGGAATACTACTTGGCAAAAAAAGGAATGAATTATTGATACATGCAACAACATGGATGGATCTCAAGGGCATTATGCTGAGTGAAAATACCCGTCTCAAAAGGTTGCATACTGTATGATTCCATTTATATAACATTCTCAAATTGATAAAATTATAGAGATGGAGAACAGATTAGTGGTTGCCAGGGATTATGGATGGTGCTGGAGGGCACTGAGTATGACCATAAAAGGGGTAGCACAAGGGAGATCTTTGTGGTGATGGAATAGTTCTGTATCTTGATCGTGGTGGTGGTTACACAAATCTAAACATGACAGAACTATACACACAGTTATACCAATGTCAACTTCTTAGCTTTGATATTGTATTATAATTATTTTAGATATAACCATTGGGGGAAACTGGGTAAAGCGTACACAGGACCTCTCTCTACTATCTTTACAACTCCTGTGAATCTATAATTATTTCAAACTAAAAAGTTTTTTAAAAAGAGCACTCTAGTGGTTGTGGAGCATGGGTACGAGGGGGACCAGACAGGATGAAGGCAGGGACAACAGTCTGGAGACTCTTTTCAGGTGAAAGATGATGAGATCTGAACCTCTGCAATATTTGTTGTGATGAAGAACAGAGGACAGATATAAGGGATGATAAGGTAGTAGAATCAGCAGGACCTTGGGAATAACCAGATGTGTAGGAAGCGAAGGAGAGCGAGGATTCTGGAATGACTTCCAGGCATCTAGCTTGGGTAATTGAGTAAATGCTAGACGTCTTAAATGAAAGAAGCCACAGTTTAGGAGCCTGAGGTATACTAGAAGTAGACAGAAGCTATGTTTTCCTTGTCTGTTACACCTTCATAAATCTAAAAGATGTTGGTTTTTGAGAATGTTGTGAAATTCTTTAAAGTCTTTTGGGGTGTCCTGTAGTCTGTTATGAAGCCAGGTATTCATGTAATTCTTCCTTGGACTTCTTTCCTTGTCTAGCCTGGTATATCTACTTAAGAAATGAGTTTTACAAGTCAGAGTGATGAAGTCAAATACCATATGATCTCATTCTTAACTAGAAGATAAAAACAACAACAAACAACGCATAGAGACAGAGATTGGACTGGTGGCTACCAGAGGGGAAGGAGCGAGGGAGGAGGGCAAAAGGGATAATTAGGCATATGTGGTGTGATGATGGATTGTAATTAGTCTTTGGGTGGTGAACATGATGTAACCTATGCAGAAATCGAAATATAATGATGTACACCTGAAATTTATACAATCTTATAAACCAATGTTACTGCAAAAAAAAAAACATGGCCATTATTAAAATGAGTTTTAAAGTAATTAAGAACTATGTGGGGGCCGGCCCTGTGGCCTAGTGGTTAAGTGTGCACGCTCCACTTCTGGTGGTCCGGGTTCTCAGGCTTGGATCCCGGGCGTGCACTGATGCACCGCTTGTCAGGCTATGCTGTGGTGGCATCCCATATAAAGTGGAGGTAGATGGGCACAGATGTTAGCCCAGGGCCGGTCTTCCTCAGCAAAAAAAGGATTGGCATGGATGTTAGCTCAGGGCTGATCTTCCTCACAAAAAAAAAAGAACTGTGTGACATTGAGCCTTGATTTCTTCATCTGCAAAATGAGCACTACGTTTTGTGATAATATAGTCATAATACTTCTCTCAGGATTGTTCTGAGGAACAAATGAGATTTACATTTATATGTAAAGTACTTAACACATATAAAGCATCTAAAAAATGCTTACTACTCATGCTGTTTCTACTGCTAAAAATAAAAATTATAGCGACAAAATATAAAAAGATGTTGAAATGTGATAGATCCTGTCAATTGTGGCCAGCTGCGGAAATGCTCAGAGATTCTCTAGAGACTGTTTTTCCTCAATTTCTGTTTTCCAGTTCCTTCAGTGATCCTTAAAGAGTGGTCTGCCTATAAAGGGAAGTCTCCTCAAACCCCTGAGCTGGTGTCTGCACTGACATTTCGGGAATGGACTTGCCCAAACCTCAAGAAGCTCTGGCTAGGCAAATCAGTTGAGGACAAGAACAGAAGGATGAGGGCCTTCCTGGCCTGCATGAAGTCAGACACACCCAGTATGCTCAATCCAGCTAATGTCCCCACCCATCTGCTACTCATGTGCTGTGTACTCCGGTAAGCCATGTGACAGGGAGGTGACCAGTTCATTTCTCTTTTACTTTTTTAACATTTCCTTTAAGCAAGTGTTTTTATGGTGTTTTGGGGTAGGGAGGTTTTTGTTTTTATGTTTTGCTTAGACTTAAGAAACACTGAAATTGATTACTATGATAGTCTTCTCAGTTTATGATCCTCTGTCATCATCAGTCTATGCATGACCTCTCTTTTATATTTGGTTTTATGTTTGGGTTTTGTCCCCTTCAGTCTTTATTCCTGATCCAGTTCCCTTCTCCTCTCTACCAATAGTTATCTGCTCTTGGATATTGATGTGTGTCCTTCCAAGCCATCTTCTATATATTCCATATATACATATGTGTATCCATGCACTGTCTATAGTGTTTATATGTATAGATTTTTTCCTTTTTTAACATAAAAGATGTGCTGTACATCTCATTCTATTTCTTATGTTTTTCACTCTGTTATTTTTGAGATCTATCCATATTCACATTATGGTTCATTCCTCATGACTACTGGATTATGTCCCATCAAATACTAACATCAGGGGCCGGCCCAGTGGCGTAGTGGTTAAGTTCGTGCACTCCGCTTTGGCGGCCCAGGGTTCGCAGGTTCGGATCCGGGACACGGACCCATGCACTGCTTTTCGAGCCATGCTGTGGCAGGCATCCCATATATAAATAGAGGAAGATGGGTATGGATGTTAGCCCAGGGCCAATCTTCCTCAGAAAAATAGAGGAGGATTCACCTCAGGGCTAATCTTCCTCACGCACGAAAAATACTAATATCACAGTATTTTATTTATTGATTGATAGATAGTTGTTTCCAGTTCTTGGGTATTACAAACAGTGCTACAGGGAATGTCTTCATAGGTCTCTCTCTCTCTGTCTCTGTGTTTCTGTGTCAGTTTGTCTGAAGTATATACTCAGGAGTAGCATTAACTGCATCCTGTAAAATACGCATATAGGTTTTTCACTAAATATTGCCAAATTACTCTATAGTTTTTTTTTTTTACTAATTTATAGTCCTATGAACAATGCATAAGAGTTTCTATTTCTTCATATTATTGCCAGTACCGATATCATATAACTTAATTTTTGCCAATCCAGTGGGCTTCTAATAGTATCTTTTATTTTAATTTGCCTCTCTTTCACTACAGATGAGGTTGAGCTTCTATTTTATACATATTAGCCATCTGTTTTTTCATTCTCTGAAGTACTGTTTATATATCTTGCAAATTTTCTTTTAGGTTACTTGTCTTTTTCTTGCTGATTGCAGAAGTTTCTTGTCAGATATGTGTGGGTGTATACATATACATGTGTAGCAATTATCCTTTCTATATCTCTGTGTGTGTGTATCAAATATCTTTTCCAATCAGTCACAATTCTTTAAAACTTTATGTACAATATCTTTGTTGAACAAAAGTATTTCATTTTTACTAAGCTTTTAATATCATCACTTCATACATATAGAAAAATTGGAAGAATAGTATGGTGAACACCCATATGCCACCACTTAGATTCTACAATTAACATTTTACTATACTTCTTTATCCCGTTTAACTCTCCATCTATCCATCTCTAGCCATCCATTTATCCATCCTTTTTGATACATTTCCAAGTAAATTGCAGATATCAGTACACTTAACGTCTGACCAAGAAGCATTTAATTTTGGTTTTGTCAAACCCATCTAATTGTACCTTTATGGTATGTGCTTTTGGGGATCTTATTTAATTAATTCTTCCCTCCCCCTGGGTCACAAAGATATTTTTCTACATTTTCTTATAGTTTTATAATGTTGCCTTCCATGTCAGGTCTTTAGTGGGTATTTATCCTGTATATGTTATAAGAAAGGATCTAATTTTATTTTCTCTACATAATAATCCAGTTTTCCCAACTCCATTTATTACGTTATCTTTTCTTTTCCCTGGTGATTTGTATTACCACCTTTCCTTTGTACCAAGTTCCTATATATACATGAGTCCGTTCCTGGATTCTATTTTGTTCCATTGCCTATATTTGATCCCTCACCAGGATCACATTGTTTCAATTATTAAGGCTTTGTAATTTGCCTTAATATTAGGTAGGGCAAATCTCTGCTCTTTGCTTTTTTTGTTTCAGACTAGTACTAGCTATTCTTGAACCACATGAGCCTTTATTCTTCCGTATATAATTTATAATTAGTCCAGTTTCCACAAAAAGTGTTGGGGTTTTTGTCAATGAATTGAATTTATAGATTAATATGGGGAGAGTTGACATCTTTATTATGTTGTCTTCCCATCCAAAGATCATAGTTTACCTCTCCCTTTATTCAGGTCTCTTCCTTTATATCTTAGTAGAGTTAATTTTTTTCCATAGAGGTCTTCTGCATTTTAAATTAATTCCTAGGTACTTGATATATATTGTTGGGATTATAGATGGTATTCTGTTTTCTATTATACTTTCTCATTGTTTATTTGCTAATGTAGAAGAAGTAAGTTTTTGTGCAAAGAGGAAGTTAGTCCCTTCAAGTCACCAGAGGATTATAGATCATCGAGCTTTGAAACTGGACAGGCCTTAGTTTGAATTCTGGCTCTGGCACTTTTCAGCTTGGAAAGTCACTTTAACCTTTTAGAGTATCCATTTCTGCACTATAAATGGGTATAATAGTTCTTACTTCTCAGAGCTGTTTGAGGATTGAGATAATGCATGCAGGGGCCCTATCATATAATAGATGCTTAATATATGTTAATTTTCTAACTGCCTTGACATTAAGATTGGTGACTTACAAAGTCTTCCCAGTAAGAATAATGGATAGGATTCATTCCTTCTAGCTCCTAACATGTTCTTGGGCCACAGCCCTGCATTGTCCCATATTAACTTTGGAATTACATGTTTTTTTTTTTCTCAAAAGTATAGTAATAGGGGCTGGCCCCGTGGCTTAGCAGTTAAGTGCGCACGCTCCGCTGCTGGCGGCCTGGGTTCGGATCCCAGGTGCACACCGACACACTGCTTCTCCGGCCATGCTGAGGCCACATCCCACATACAGCAACTAGAAGGATGTGCAGCTATGACATACAACTATCTACTGGGGCTTTGGGGGAAAAAATAAATAAATAAAATTTAAAAAAAAAGTATAGTAATAGCTCATTTTCCCATTTATTTGATTCTCTATGTTTTTTGGGACACATCCAAGAACATGAAAATAAGTAAAAATGTCTTATGAACAGCTATAATAGCTATCACAAAGACCATGCTCTAATAACCTAATAGGTTTTATATGCTTCCCCTGAAGAGAACCCCTTAGCCTCCTGCTCAACCTATTTATTCTTAGTTTAGACATGTTTTTGACAATTTGGTCATCTGATTTCCCAGTGTACAACAGATCATATGCAGCAAATTGCAAGGGAGGTGAGACAGGGAGTAGGAGCTATTCTTAGAATCTGTCCCAGTGACAGCAATGGTAAGTGACAGCCTACTGCCTAAAATCAGGGAAAAAGATATAATCTTTATTTTTTTTTAAGATTTTAAAGAGACCTAAAAACGCAAAAAGAAGAGGCATCATCTGGAGCCATTTAGTGTAGGGGGAAACTGCCCTGTATAAATCAGTAATCCATGTAAGATCATTATTAAAGCACAAGGCAATAATCTCCATAAAATCATCAAGAACAGGTTCTATAATATTACATGTTATGTACCTGGCAATGTGCTAAGTCAGCCCTTTGTATATGATGCTACTAATCCTCATAATAGTGCTGAAAAGTAAGTATTATTTATCTCCATATATAGCTGAGGAAACAAAGGCTCAGAGAAGTGACTTGCAAAGGTTACATAGCTAGTAAGGGGTAGTGCAAGAGTTTGAACTCAAGTCTCTCCAACTCCTAATTCTTATGCTTTTTAAAAGACAAAATGGTAGAAAAATGCAGTTTTAAAGATTAACATAAAACCTGGTTGGAAATTAAAAATTCACCTTTAAATGAACATTAACTTATCGTAAATAATTCACTGCCCAGCGATGTCAAGTAAAGACTGGGTAGAGAAACATTGAACTATGGTCTAATTGAGTACTAGGAGTCTCAACTCCTCAATTGCTTCTACTAGCCATAGGTAAAAGAGACCTCTCATGTAAGTAAAGTAATGCTAGGGAAGTTGTGACTAAAACTTATGTTGGTGAAGCTCTTGGACAGTCGGCCTAGAGAAATGAGAGTCTACTAGGACAGGTTGATACAGTTTGAGGAAGGCAGAAACTTTACACATATAATAGTCACCACTGAGGAGGGAGGGATAGTGAGGGATTCTGTCAGGCTTCTAGGGGTGTGGTGCAGCCCTGTTGAATGTGGAGAGGCATGCACCAAGGCCCTATCATTTCTAGCAAAGGTTCATTCAAATCTCAACAGTTTTCCAGAAATAGAACATGAAATTGGACAAGTTCACTCCTCTAGATTCATGAGTGAAGTTAAGGAGTCTCTTCTGAAAAGCAATTCTATTAAGAAGCAGCAGATTCATTCCCAGCTGTAATAGGGCATTTGAGTTAACCATGTGCTATCCTGAAATATAAAGAGTAAAGATATATAAGAACTAGTTTTTGTTTACTTGACAGAATAATTCTAAAGTTTGTTGGGAAAAGCAAATGAACAAGAATAGCTTAGAATTTTTTAAAAAGAACAATAAGAGGAGTCTTGGTTCAAACAAAAAGAAAATACCAAAATGTATTATAAACTTATACTAAAATGATGTGATACTGGCACAAAAATTGACAGGTCATTATTTTAGAACAGATAATACTGAGTAAGACCCTAGACACATTATAATTTAAAATATGCTAAAGGAAGCTTCACGAATCAAGGAGGAATAGATAAATTTTTTAATAATTGTTGAGAAAACTGGATTGGTATTTGGGGAGAAAACATCAAGTTAGAGCCTTGCCTCACGTATTTCCAGATGGATTGATTATAGAGATAAATGCAAAGAAAAAGAAAGACAAAAGGTAGAATAAAAACTAAGCAATGATTTAACTGATCTTG